CCCCAGAGAGAGGGCGCGAGGGGGCCGGAAGGGGCTGCCCTGCCTGCCCACCCGCCTGCCCGGCTCACCTGATAGAAGGCGTGGAAGTTCCTCTCACCCACGTGCTGCTTGAGGACCCGAGACTGAGGAGAGAGGGGAAGCTGGGCCCGTGTCTGGGTGGACAGGGACCCCCAGGGGACAGGTCCCAGAGCCCCAAGGCAGTGCAGGGAGCAGAGGGGCTGGCCTGGCCACAGAGGGAGCCCCACCCTGTGCATCTGGGGCATCAAAGAGGGTAAGCCCCTGCCCCAGGGCCGTGGGCCTCCAGCGAAGCCTGGGCAACACCTTTTCTTTTTTTTTTTAAGGGTAAGTTTGGCTCTTCAATTCTCTCAACGTCTTTTTTTACTTATTTACTAGAGGCCCAGTGCACGAAATTCACACATGGGGGTCCCCTCAGCCCAGCCTGCACGCTCTCCAATCCGAGATCCCTTGGGGGATGTTCGACTCCCTCTCACAATCTGGGAGTGCTGGCTTCTAACCGCTCACCTGCCTGCCTGCCCGATCGACCCTAACTGCCACCCCTGCTGGCCTGGTCACTCCTAACTGCCTCCCCCCAACCCCCTGCTGGCCTGGTTGCCCTTTACTGCCCCCCCTGCCAGTCTGGTCACACCCAACTGCCCCCCTCTGTCGGCCTGGTCACCCCTAACTGCCCCCCCCCATGGCCTGGTTGCCCCCAACTGCCCCCTCTGCCGGGCTGGTCACCCCACGCAGCCTGCTGTTTGGTCGTCCATCTGGTTGTTTTGGTCGTATGGCCCCTGGCTTTTTATATATTAGGGTTTTAAGCCTCACCCAAGGATATTTTTCCATTGACCCCTGCTGGCCTGGTCACTCCTAACTGCCTCCCCCCAACCCCCTGCTGGCCTGGTTGCCCTTTACTGCCCCCCCTGTTTTTTCCATTGATTTTTAGAGAGTGGAAGAGGGAGGGAAAGACAGAGAGAAACATCAATTGGTTGCCTCCTACACACGCCCTGACCAGGGCCCAGGCCACGGAGGAGCCTGCAACCGAGGTACGTGCCCTTGACTGGAATCGAACCAGGGACCCTTCAGTCCAAGGGCCCATGCTCTACCTACTGAGCCAAACTGGCCAGGGCCAACCCACCTTCTCCAGCAAGTAGCTGTGGATGTGCCCCCCGATGGGGTCGCCCTTGAAGTCGAAGTTGATGTCCATGTACTTGCCGAAGCGGCTGGAGTTGTGGTTGCGGTTGGTGCGGGCGTTCCCGAAGGCCTCCAGCACGCAGGTGGACTTGAGCAGCACGTCCTTGACCCTGAACGGGGCACAGGGTGGGGCTGCATCGCAGAGACCTCGAGCCCGGGACCCGTTTATCCTACGGTGTCCCGGGCTGAGACCGCCCGCGCTTCCCCTGCAGGCTGAGGGCGGAGCTTCCTCCTGAGACACCGGAGGGCCCCGTGGCCCGTGCCAGGCCAGGTCACCGCCCGCTGGCCACGGTGCTCAGCGGCACCTTCCCCACCAGCCCCACGTCACTCCACGTCACAGAAGAGCAG